ATGTAGATCCAATGAATGATTTAATCACAGCTAAGGTTTATTTTCCCATAGGTTATCCTCAAAAAAAGAGCTTGAAAAATATTGAATTTGTATCAAGTTCAAATAAACGAGGAGAACATTTGTCTAAACTATTCAGTAAGTAATTTCCTCATGTGAAGCCTCCATGCTGTTTTAAAGAGTGTCATGCTTTTCCAGGGTTGTCTGTCAGATAACCCAATGCTTTGGTGGGAGGGAAAGTGCTTGCCTTGAGGCTAGAACCAGTTCTTTGAAGTGTCAGAGTCCCAGGAAATTAGGCAAAGTATAGACAATAAACACTTGGAAAGGATTCTTCTCCTCAGAGAGGGGTCCATGCAGCAGAACAGGGGCACCGTGTGGGAGTTATTGCAAGTGCTGAGTCAGACCCTGCCTTAGACCAGCTGCATCACATCTGCCTGACAAGGTGCCTGGGAGATTTCTCCAGCGGTGGGATGGTGAGGCCCTGAGGCTGAGGTAAACCTTCTCCCCAGGTCCTTAGCCCTAGTTGAGAATGAGAATCCCCTGGAGAGATTGTTAGAAAGACCCCTGATCGGATTCCCTGGCATAGGATGAGATATTTGCACCAGTAGTTTTTAAAGCTCTCCAGGTGATTCTAGGCTGGGACTCATTGATCTATTCCAAGTCTCTCATGTAACATTTGAGAAAACCAAGGCCTGGAAAGAAGATGGTAGGAAGCTCCAAGAATATGTCACAACTGAACTGCCAAGAATTATCTTAAGCAACTATTTTGGACTGTTGGATTCTAGTTGAACACTTGCATCGTCCAGAGGAATGCTTAATGAAGAGACTGGTAAATTTTAGTGATTCATGTAGATCCTACCATTCTCCTTCCCCCAGCCCCATAGCAGGTAGCCAAGTAGTCGGCAGCCTGAATTCTCAGTGTAGTTTGCTGGTGCCAGAATGGGCAATAGGCACCCATCTTCAGTGTGTTTATTGTCTTTGATGACTTAAGGAAATGAGAGAGAAAGAACTTAAAGAAATCAGGAAAACAATGTTTGAACAAAATGAGAATGTCAATAAAGAAACAAATTATAGAAAGGAACCAGAGATTCTAGAGTTGAAAAGTACAGTGGCTAAAATGAAAAATTCACCAGTGGGATTTGACAGCACATTTCACCAGACAGAAGTAAGGATCATTTTGAACTTGGACAATTGAAATTGTCCAGTCTGCAGAGCAGAAAGAAAAAAAAATGGGCAGAGGATAAGGGACCTGTGAGGTTGCGTCAAGTGTACCAACATACATACACATTACAGAAATCCCAGCAGGAGAAGAGAGAGAAAGGGGCAGAGAAAATATATGAGGAAATAATGGCCAAAACCTTCTCAAATTAGATGATTTTACACATCCCAGAAGCTCTAGAAACTCCAGGCATAAATGCAAATTGTTGAAACCCAAGACAAAGAGACAGTCTTGAAAGCAGCAAAGGAAAAACTACTCATTGTTTACAAGGGATCCTCAATAAGATTAGTGGCTGATTCCTCCTCAAAAATCATGTAGACCAGAAGTGATGACATATTTAAAGTCCTGAAAGAAAAGTACTGTCAACCAATAGTTTTGTATGTGACAAAACTATTCTTTGAGCATAAAAGATAAACTAAGACATTTCCAGATAAACAAAAGCCAAGAGATCTGCCCCTTAAGAAATGCTAAAGAGAGTACTTCGGGCTGAAATGAAAGGACACTAGACAGTCAAAAGTTTGAGAGTAAAATGAACACTGGTAAAGGTGACTACATAGGTAAATGTAAAAACCAATATTATTGTAATTTTGGTTTGTTACTTCATTCTTTTTTACAATATGATTTAAAAGGCGATGAATGAAACAGTGATTGTAAATTTATGTTCATGGACATACAACGTTTAAAGATGTAATTTGTGGCAATATAGGGGAAGGTAGAGATATATACGAGCAGAGTGTTCATATACTAAGTTGGTACTATTCAAACTAGGTTGTTATTAGTTTAAAATGTTAGTTGTAATTCCCAAAGTAATCATGAAGAAAAGAACTAAAACATATACAGAACAGTAACAAAGAAGGCAATTGAAATATAACATTACAGGGCGCCTGGGTGGCTCAGTTGGTTGGGCGACTGCCTTCGGCTCAGGTCATGATCCTGGAGTCCTGGGATCGAGTCCCGCATCGGGCTCCCCGCTCGGTGGGGAGTCTGCTTCTCCCTCTGACCCTCTTCCCTCTCGTGCTCTCTATCTCTCATTCTCTCTCTCTCAAATAAATAAATAAAATAAAATAAAAAAAGAAATATAACATTACAAAAAATTGGGGTGCCTGGCTGACTTAGTCTGTTATGCATTTGCCTTCAGCTCGGGTCATGATCCCAGAGTCCTGGGATCAAGCCCCACATCGGGCTCCCTGCTCACCAGGGAGTCTGCTTCTCCATCTCCCTCTGCTTGTGTCCATGCTCTCTCTCTCTCTGTGTCAAATAAATAAATAAATAAAATCTTAAAAAAAAAAAACTCCCACAGGAAAGCAGTAATAAAGGAACTGAGGAACAAAAAATTTATAGGACACAGGAAACAAATAGTTAAATAGCAGAAGTAAATTCTTTTTATTAGTAATCACATTAAGTGTAAGTGGATTAAACTCTTATTAAAGGGCAGCGATTAGCATATTGACTAGAAAATCCAGTTTTCTTGTTGGGAATGTAAAATGGTGCATCTGCTGTGGAGAACAGTATGGCTGTTCCTCAATTAAAACTAGAATTACCATATGACCCAGCAATCCCATATTTGGTTATGTATCCCAAAGAATTGGAAGTCTCAAAGAGGTATTTGCCATGCGTATAGGAGCATTCTTCACAATAGCCAAAAGGTAGAAGCAACCCAAGTGTCCATGGATGAATAGATTAACAAAATGTGGTATATACACACAATGGAATATTATTCAGCCTTAAAAAGGAAGGAAATTCTGTTGCATGCTACAACATGAATGTTGTAGCATAACCCGGTGCTTTCTTTGCCAAATTTAATAAGCCAGTCACAGGAAAACAAATATTGTATGGTTCTACTTATAAAAGATAGCTAAAGTCAAATTCATAGAAAGAAAGTAGCATGGTAGTTGCCAGGGGCTGGGGTAGGGGAGGTGGAAACAGGGAGTTGTTGTTTAATGAGTATGGAGTTTCAGTTTTGCATGATGAAAAAGTTCGGGATATCTGTTATACAACAAGGAGAATAAACAATACTACTGAACTATGCTTAAAAATGATCAGGATGGTAGGAGCACTTGGCTGGCTCAGTCAGTGGGGCATACAACTCTTGATCTCAGGATTGTGGGTTTGAGCCCCATATTGGGTGTAGAGATTATATAGAAATAATAAGATCTCAAAAAAATTATTAGGATAGTAATTTTGTGTTATGTGTTTTTTACTACAATTAAAAATAAAACTTATTTGGGCGCCTGGGTGGCTCAGTTGGTTAAGCGACTGCCTTCGGCTCAGGTCATGATCCTGGAGTCCCAGGATTGAGTCCCGCATCGGGCTCTCTGCTCAGCAGGGAGTCTCCTTCTCCCTCTGCCCCTCCCCCCTCTCATGTGCTCTCTCTCTCTCATTCTTTCTCTCAAATAAATAAAATCTTAAAAAAAACTTACTTAAAAATTTAACATCCTTTTGTGATAAAAACACTCAATAAACTAGGAATATAAGGGCACTTCCTCAATGTGATAAAGTCCATATATGAAAAATACCCAGCTAACATCATAATGATGAAAGAATGGAAGTTTTTCCCCTAATATCAGCCATGAGACATTCTTGCCAATTCTTTCAACATAGACTGTGAGTCCTAGCAGAGAAATTAGGCAAGAAAAAGAAATAAAAGGATCTAAAATAAATCCATAAAGAGTTCACAAAAATTGTTAGTGCTAAAAAATTAATTCAGATAACCATTAGTTTGTTCTCTATAGTTAAGTCTCTTTCTTTTTTTAAAAAAAGATTTTATTTATTTTTGAGAGAGAGAGAGTGTGAGCACAAGCAGGGGAGAGGGGCAGAGGGAGAAGGAGACTCCCCCCCTGAGAAGAGAGCCCAAAGTGGGACTTGATCCAGGATCCTGGGATCATGACCTGAACCAAAGGCAGATGCTTAACCGACTGAGCCACCTAGGCACCCATGTCTGTTTCTTGGTTTGCCTCTCTCTCTTTTTTTCTCTTCTCTCCTTTGTTTTGTTTCTTAAATTCCACACAGGAGTGAAATCATATGGTATTTGTCTTTCTCTGAACGACTTATATTTTGCTTAGTATAATACTCTCTAGCTCCATTTGAAAGTTTACAGGATATAAAAACAACACAGAAAAATCGTTTGTATTTCTATATTCTGATATGAATAGTCCAAAAAAGGAAAAGAAATCAAGAAAACAATTCTATTTACAATGGCATCAAAAAGATTAAAATACTTAGGAATACATTTAGCAAAGGAGGCAAACAACTTGTACACAGAAAGGGACAAAACATTGCTGGAAGAAATGAAAGAAGACCTAAATAAATGGAAAGATATCCTATGTTAATGGATTGAAAGACTTACTGTTGTAAAGATGACAAGAGTCCCCGAAGTGATCTACAGATTCAATGCAAACCCTATCAAAATTCTAATTGCATTTTTTGGAAAATAGAACTCATTCTGAAATTCCTATAGAATCTCAGTAGACCCAAAGTAATCAAAATAATCTTGACACAGAAGAACAAATTTGGGGGACTCCTGGGGGGCTCAGTCGATTAAGCCTCCCACTCTTGGTTTCGGCTCAGGTCATGATTTCATGGGTTGTGGGATTGAGCCCCGCATCAGGCTCTGTGCTCAGTGGGGAGTCTGCTGGAGAGTCTGTCTCTCTCCCTCTTCCTCTGTCTTTACCCCCTCCCCTCTCTCTAAAATAAATAAATAAATCTTAAAAAAAAAGAACAAAAAATTTGGAAGAATCTAACTTCCTTATTTCAAAACTTACTACAAAGTGGGTCAGAATGACAATTGGAGCAAGAAGGAAGGTAATGACACTAATGTCATGAGATTTGGGGCAAAATTTCAAGCTGCCTATCTTTTAGTGGGAAATAGCTACTGCTCAAGACATCTAGTGCAATCACACTTTTTCAGAAATGATTGTAGGAGTTAGGATTTCCCTTCCCAAGGCAAGGTATTTCAGAGTATAATATCATATGTCCACTGAGCTTATATCATTGATTTACTGTATTTGTAGACTGCTTTAGGTACTTGCAGAGAAAAATGTCAATCCCCCACGGCTGGTATTAACATGCTTTTTTTACTTCACTTGAGATGAAATTCTACAGCAAGTGTTTTACAAGGTTCCATATGGGACACCATTTGATGAAGCAAGAACATCAAGCAAATCAATTACAAAGAGAGACATGAATTCAGAAAGTAAGTATATGTCTTTAAAACTATAGGTGCATCTATTCCTATAGGTCTATGTATCGTATTATATATACAGTGCTATCATTTCAGCATTTGTTAAAACAGCTCCCTGGGTGGCAAAGACAAATTGAGAAACGAAGGACAAAATTGTCTGAAAACCTCTCTATAACCTTCAAATCTATGGTCTAAAATGTGCCTATCCCTCTATTTTGCCGGGGGAGTGGGGATCCATGGAGTTCATGTGTCAAGTAGGTTCTCACTTTCTGGAGGCTATTCAGAAGACAGGAACTGGAATTGCAAGTGGTGTTTACCTTTCCTGACAACAGGAATCCTGAGTAATGTAATAACCTTGTCTTGCACACGCTTTATACTTCCTGTACTTCCCCGTGCATAGTTTGATACTTTGGTTAGCCCTTGGGGAGAGCTGGTGCAGTCATTAGTACCCCCATTCAATGGGATAAGACCCAGGCCAAAAAAATCACTTGCCCTAGGCACACCAGTAGAAATAACAAAAATGAAAAATAATTTCTGATACTTCCCAAAAGCAGCTTCAGATTTTTTTTTTAAGTAGCAGTTTGAGAATTAAGACAGTTGTTTGATCATAGGTTTGTAAGGATAGAATTGTGCATCAGAAACTTCCAGCAGTACAGGAAGGTGCCCTGGGCAACCGAGTAATGGGCACTGTGTTGGAATTTTGCATACAGATGTGAATTTCAGTTCCTGAGGTTGGTTTCCCACAATATCTGCCTGGGCTCCAGTCTCTGTAGTCAACAGCTAGCTGGTGCCTCGCTCTACATTGACATGTAAACTTTCAAATATACATTCCCAATACAAGTTGAATTCTATATTAACATTGTAACACTTAAAACAAAATACAGACCCAAAGTGCTCGGAAGTGTGTACTGATACAAATTTTTCTCTTTCATTTTTTTCCCCCCATAGTTTTCATCAAAGGAACCAGTGTTCCTGGGTATTCTACTGCACCAAGGTTTCTCCTTGGCAGCATGGACAGAATTTCTATTAATGGTAAATGCAAATGGATATAATTGGAGTTGGGGGCCAATAAGTAATACCTCAGGCACAATACCTTGTGCCTGAGTTTAGAGCCAAATGTGAGACTGAGCTAAGGATCTGGCAGATGGAGCTCAGACTATCTTCTCTAGAAAACTTGGCTGGATAATGTGGGTGCTTCACTTTGAATTAGGAAGAGTGCCTAATCACTGGTGAGGTTTAGGGTACCTGTGGTTTCCCCAAACCCCCACCATGAGAGAGTTTGCTTCTGTAAAATTCACAGCATAGAGGAGCAGTTCAGAATATCTGCTCTCTGGAGGCAAATGGATGCGAGAGAGAGAGAGAGAGAGAGAGAGAGAGAGAAAGAGGAGCTGGCCATAGGTACCTGAATCCTCTTCCCAAACTTACCTGTGAAGTCCCTTTCTCCCCCTGGGGGCGGGGACTGGTGAGGGGCAGAGCACATTCTTGAAGTGATACCCCAGAGGAGTTCTCTCCCTCCCCACCACGAGGAGTATGGGAAAGTGCTCCCCTTTAGCTGATGAGCAAAGGCTCATCTCACAGACCCAATTATGGTGGGGGCAGATTGGCTCTGAAGACAGGATGAGGAACTAGCATCCTATGAAGCATTTCTTCCCTAGGCAGATAGAAAGATTTCAAAGGGAAAATAGGCTAATTATGTCACTGTCCAAGCTGGCAAATATGTGGTCTTTCCTGGGAGTAAGAATATGAACTAGGTCAGTGGTTCCCAACCCTGACCATGCATCAACCATGGAGTAGAGGATGAGAAATGGGAAGAGATTATAAACCCTTATTTCTGGAACCCACCAAGAGTTTCTAAAAGTGGAGTCCAGGGTTCTGTACAATTATGCCTATTTTCCAAGTGATTTGCCTACAGGTAACATTTGGAACCATTGACCTAGATGGTTTTTGGAGATTAATTTACCACAGAATTCTCTTTAAAGTGAATACCTCTAATATTCCTGAATTTGTCCTATACATTTCCTTCTGTGAATTTCATGATAATCATAAATTCAATGTAGTTGAGCATTTCTTTGGTACCTAGGTCTACACCAGGAGACGTGAAAGGATGATTTTATACTGAGAACCACACACGGGTTCGAATGATTTCATCAACACAGTCCAGGTCATGCCATTTTTCTCTGAAATGCTACACCATTTATTAAAAAGTCCATCTATGCTCCAGTGATCTGAGATACCTCCTTTTTTTTTTAAATTTTTTATTGTTATGTTAATCACCATATATTACATCATTTGTTTTGGTGTAGTGTTCCATGATTCATTGTTTGTTCATAACACCCAGTGCTTCATGCAGAATGTGCCCTCTTTAATACCCATCACCAGGCTAACCCATCCCCCTACCTTCCTCCCCTCTAGAAACCTCAGTTTGTTTTTCGGAGTCCATCATCTCTCCTGGTTTGTCTCCCCCTCTGACTTACTCCCCTTCATTCTTCCTCTCCTGCTATCTTCTTCTTTTTCTTTTTTCTTAAAATATGTTGCGTTATTTGTTTCAGAAGTACAGATCTGTGATTCAACAGTCTTACACAATTCACAGCGCTCACCATAGCACATACCCTCCCCAATGTCTATCACCCAGCCACCCCATCCCTCCCACCCCTGACCACTCCAGCAACCCTCAGTTTGTTCCTGAGATTAAGAATTCCTCATATCAGTGAGGTCATATGATACATGTCTTTCTCTGATTGACTTATTTCACTCAGCATAACACCCTCCAGTTCCATCCACGTCATTGCAAATGGCAAGATCTCATTCCTTTTGATGGCTGCATAATATTCCATTGTGTATATATACCACATCTTCTTTATCCATTCATCTGTCGATGGACATCTTGGCTCTTTCCACAGTTTGGCTATTGTGGACATTGCTGCTATAAACATTGGGGTACACGTACCCCTTCGGGTCCCTACATTTGTATCTTTGGGGTAAATACCCAGTAGTGCAATTGCTGGATCGAACGGTAGCTCTAATTTCAACTGTTTGAGGAAGCTCCATACTGTTTTCCAGAGTGGTTGCACCAGCTTGCATTCCCACCAACAGTGTAGGAGGGTTCCCCTTTCTCCACATCCCCGCCAACATCTGTCGTTCCCTGACTTGTTAATTTTAGCCATTCTGACTGGTGTGAGGTGGTATCTCATTGAGGTTTTGATTTGGATTTCCCTGATGCCGAGTGATGTTGAGCACTTTTTCATGTGCCCGTTGGCCATTTGGATGTCTTCTTTGGAAAAATGTCTGTTCATGTCTTCTGCCCATTTCTTGATTGGTGAGATACCTCCTTTATCTTATACTAAATTCCCATATGTCCTGGGTCTCTTCCTGGGATTTTTTTTTTTAAGATTTTATTTATTTATTTGACGGAGAGAGACACAAAGGGAACACAAGCAGGGGGAGTGGGAGAGGGAGAAGCAGACTTCCTGCCGAGCAGGGAGCCCGATGCGGGGCTTGATCCCAGGACCCTGGATCATGACCTGAGCCGAAGGCAGATGCTTAACGACTAAGCCACCCAGACACCCCTCTTCCTGGGCTTTCTATCCTAACCACTGACCTACTGGTTTCTGTATACAACAGTACCACACTATTTTAATTACAGAGGCTGAAATAGTATGTTTTAGTGCCTTATGAGACTAGGCCCTTCTTTGCAGTTTTTGTTTGTTCAGTGTTTTCCTGGCTATTTTTGCATGTTTGTTTTTGCACATGTATCAACTTGTGTAACTTCATTAGAAGCCTGTTGATACTTTTATTAGCATCACATTAAATTTATAATACAATATTCACTCTGGGAAAACTGATGGTAAATCATTCTGTGCTGGAAATGGGGATGTCTTTCCATTTCTTCAAGTTTACTTTTGGCTTTTTCAGTGTGTGATTTTTCTCCCTTGTAGGAACTTGACTCAGTGCTCGGAGTATAAAATGGGTTTATTTTCCTCTACCTCCCCGGACCCCCAGCATGTACAGTGGCCAATTTAAACTAGATTTGGAGGCCATTCCTTTTTTTTTTTTTTTAATGCACAAAGCATCACATTACAAATTGATCATTACACTCATCTTGATAATCCATGATGTTGAGTTTTTAGGAGTCTCACAATTAGAAGATTAGAAAACTTCCCTTGGAACTATAATGTCAGGTTGAATCATTTGAACTTAATGTTTTTTTGTAGGTCAAAAGTGGTTGAGGGGCGCCTGGGTGGCTCAGTCAGTTAAGTGTCCAACCCTTGATTTCAGCTCAGGTCATGACCTCAGGGTCACGGGATTGAGCCCTGCGTCAGGCTCTGTGCTCAGCAGGGAGTGTGCTTGAGATTCTCTCTCTTCCTCTGCCCCTCCACCTTGCTCTCTCTCTTTAAAAGAAATAAATAAATCTTTTTAAAAAATGGTCAAATAGCTCATTTCATATGGTTCAACCTCAACATGTGGTTCAATCATTCAGGCGTCTCTGCTTAATGGGTTGGGTCACATACCCAATTCCAGGCTTCCTGCAGAGTGTAGATCCCTTTGTAATGGTGTTACTTCTCTCCATCCACAAAACCTGAGGTAGCTGATTCAAATCCTTATGTTTATATGGACATAAGCAAATATTTCCTTTGTTCAGCTGTCTTCCTTGGAATTTCATTTCTACTGTGGTTTTAAAATAGGTCCACAAATTCTTTGATATCCGTCCCCTTGAGTGTGGGCAGGACTGAGTGACTTGCTTCAAATGAATAGAACGTGACAGAAGTGATGGTGTGCTACTTCATAGATTAGGTCATCAAAGACATTGTGGTTTCTGCCCGGCTATCTCTTGAATTGCTCACTCTGGGGAAAGTCAGTTGCCATGTTGTGAGGACATTCCAGCAGTGTCCACTGACTTAAGGAGAGGACTTTGTGGTGAGCAACCGGGCCCTCCTGCCTCCAGCCAGTGGGGAGATGAGGCCTTCTGCCAACAGCTCTATGAGTGACCCATTTTGGAAGCAGACCCTCTGGTGTCAGTCAGCCTTCAAAGGACTGCAGCCTAGGCCAACGAATCAGGCTTAGCTGGGTGGTTCTGGCTCAGAGTTTCTCATGAGGTTGCAATCAAGAGTCTTCAAGATCCCTTCTCTCACTCAAGACCTAGCTATTGATCTCCTACTCGGTGAGAGGTGCTGTGCCAGGAGTAGAGAGCTGAACAAGGCCCTTGTGTCCTCCAAGAGCTCACTGCTAATAGGAAAGTCGGTGTCATCCGTAATTATTAGCTATAAGTATGCTAAAATGGAAGGTGCTTAACAAGTGCTTCAGGGTGGCACTGTTGGTTAAGCGACTGCCTTCAGCTCAGGTCATGATCCTGGAGTCCCGGGATCGAGTCCCACATCGGGCTCCCTGCTCAGCAGGGAGACTGCTTTTCCCCCTGACTCTTCCCCTCTCTCCTGCTCTTTCTCTCTCTCAAATAAATAGATAAAATCTTTAAAAAAAATGTGCTTCAGGTTGTATTTGCATGGAGCTTTGAGAGGACAAAAGAGAGGCAGGTCTGCTAACTAAGGTTTTTTGAGTAGAGAGAGTGAATTAAGAAGAGACCCCCCTGCAGACAGTAGTAGAGGTCACATGACACAAGAAAAGGAAGCTGACCAGGCCCCTCTTCAGAGGCCAGGAGCTGCTCTGAAGCTATTCTGCTACACTAGGAAATCCACAAATCTTCATTAGCAGCTGTGACCATTTCCCCCTCCCCCCCCCCGCAAATTAATGGTAAAAAGGGCTGGGTAGGAAGAGGGCTGAGGAAATGATTTTTTTTTTCTTTGAGAAGTGACGTGTCTTGTTAAAGTGTGCACAGGTGTGCAACGAGTTCCAGCTATTATTGATTTAGCTCTGCTGAAGGGAACCTAGGTCTTAGTTAACAGTGCAGCAGTAGGGTGCTCTTAATAGAAGCAATCAAAGTCTTATTTCAGTGATAGTCTCCTAAGAGGGAAAGGAGAGAGAGAGAAATTATGACATAAGACTTCGACAGTTTCCTTGAACACAAAGCCCAAATTTCTTGGTTCTGGGCTCATTTGACACATTTTTACCAGGCCCAGGATGTGACTGATTGGCACTTGAATTGAGTCTACCTCATGGATGTGGGGCTTAGCTTGTTGTCCTTGCTCCTGTAATGGGCTACTGCTTCTCTCATAGTTAATGGTTTTCTGTAGTTGAAACGATGTTTGGAAACTGACTATATTTGGCAAAACTCGGTAACTGTGCTTATTTTGTCTCGCCAAAAAAAATCCAACAAATGATCAAAATCACAACCCATATTGATGGTAAATGTAGACAGTGGCTTCTAATTCTGGTTTTGTGTTTGTGGTACAGAGACAAGGAGGGTAAAAATTTGTGTTCAAGTGATGAGTCTATCTTTTCCACACCTCTGTGAAAGAGTAAGGCCAATGTAACCCCTTAGTGGACTAACTCTGCACTGTTCAGAGTTTTCTGTGTATCTGTGCTTGTTAATATCTTGACTGATTTGACAAGCTGGTGTTTCTGAAGTCAGGTAATTATGATTCATGTTAAGTTGGAAATTTTCTCTCTTTTCTAAGTCAAATTGAATAAGGAACACATTTTCTCCTTCCTCAGAAATAATTAAGACCTCAAGAGGCTGTTGTTTGATACCATAGCTGTGTTAACCACATTGTCTCATTCCCACCTCTTTGAGAACTAGGCCAAGGCAGATACACCAAAGTCACGCCAAAGCTGCCACTCAGCTCAAAGGCATCTGGGCCTGGGGGCTCCAGCCTTGAGGTGTTCTAGGGACAAAGGATTCATTACTTCTCACTCTTCCTCATTCCCTTTTTATTTATTTATTTTTTAAAGATTTTATTCATTTATTTGACAGAGAGAGGCACAGTGAGAGAGGGAACACAAGCGGGGGAAGTGGGAGAGGGAGAAGCAGGCTTCTGGCTCAGCAGGGAGCCTGATGTGGGGCTCGATCCCAGGACCCTGGGATCATGACCTGAGCTGAAGGCAGACGCTTAACGACTGAGCCACCCAGGCGCCCTCCTCATTCCCTTTTTATTTTTATTTATTTATTTTTTTTAAATTTATTTTATTATTTTTTATTATTATTATGTTATGTTAATCACCATACATTACATCATTAGTTTTTGATGTAGTGTTCCATGATTCATTGTCTGTGCATAACACCCAGTGCTCCATGCAGAACGTGCCCTCTTCAATACCCATCACCAGGCTAACCCATCCTCCCACCCCCCTCCCCTCTAGAACCCTCAGTTTGTTTCTCATAGTCCATCATCTCTCATGGTTCCTCTCCCCCTCCAATTTCCCCCCTTCATTCTTCCCCTCCTGCTATCTTCTTCTGCCCTTTTTTTTTTTTTAACATGTAATGTATGATTTGTTTCAGAGGTACAGATCTGTGATTCAACAGTCTTGCACAATTCACAGCGCTCACCATAGCACATAATTCTCATTCCCTTTTTAATAGCCTTACTTTCTAACTGCTAACCTCAGTCCACACATCTCACTGGATCTCCTACCCATTGGTTCTGGTTTGCTCCTGGAACTTCTCAGAACATCTCCCAGCCCCTTTCCAGGGCCATTCTTGTGTTGAACAAAGACAGATCTCCTGGCTTCCCAGTCTTCTTCACGCTAACCTCACTCAGGCCCTTTGACGAGGTCTCATATACAAATGAGTCAGAGATAGCCAGTGGGAGAGTTAGGATGCTAATATTTCTGATTTTCAACCCCGCCTGTTTCTACTAGGCCATTCTATAGCCCCTCTCCCAATAAATGCATATGTCAGTGTAATTCACTCTCCTGTCTTGCCCTTGCGATTTAAGAAAAATTTTTATAGTACTTCATGATTTTTAAATTGTTTCCACAAATACTATGCTATCTGTGAGGTAGGTCTTACTATTTCTATCTTACGCTTGTGGAGACTGGGGTCAGAGGGGCTCAACAACTGACTGAAAGATTCTCTCGAGGTCCTCTGAGGTGGTCCCTGACCAGCTCATTTGGCGGGAGGGAGGGTAGTCTGTGAGAAATACACATTCTCAAGCCTCCTCAGACCTACTGAATCAGAAACTCTAGGGTGGGGCCCAGCGGTCTGTCTTTTAAGGCCTCCTGGTGATTTGGATGCACACTCACGTGTGAAAACCACAGTCAATCTATGGGTGGGTCACCCAGGAATTTGTTAGATTAAAAAAATAATAACAAAACACTGATGTACATTTGGACTTTTCTCCAAAATCCTCCCTAACTCCTCACTTTGATTCTAGAGGAAGTTATTTTTTTTAAGATTTTATTTATTTATTTATTTGAGAGAGAGAGATCGTGAGCAGGGGAGGAGCAGAGGGAGAGGGACCAGCAGACTCTGTGCTGAGTGTGAGCCCACCTCGGGGCTTGATCCCATGGCCCTGAGATCATGACCCGGGGTGGGGGGGGGGGAATCGAGAGTTGGACCTTTGACTGAGCCACTCAGGCACCCCTGGGGGAAGTTATTTTTATCATAAAAATAGAACTAATCAGGGGCGCCTGGCTGGTTCTGTCATTAGAGCAGGTGACTCTTGATCTCGGGGTTGTAAGTTTGAGCCCCACGGTAAGTGTAGAGATTACTTAAAAATAAAATCTTTTTTTTTTTAAAGATTTTATTTATTTATTTGACAGAGAGAGACACAAAGGGAACATAAGCAGGGGGAGTGGGAGAAGGAGAAGCAGGCTTCCCACCGAGCAGGGAGCCGGATGCGGGGCTCGATCCCCGGACTCTGGGATCATGACCTGAGCCAAAGGCAGACGCTTGACGACTAAGCCACCCAGGTGCCCCTAAAAATAAAATCTTAAAAAAAAATAGAACTAATCACAGACCAATGGTTGTTTTTAGATGAACTCATTTTGTCTTTTGTCTTCTGTAGGTCACAATTCAGAGAAGAGGGATAAAGAATCCTCTCTCTCCAACAGGGATGTAAATGAGCCATTTTCTGCTATAGATAAAGAAACACTTGAAGCAGTTAGGACAGGTAATAAGCTATATAGTGTAAACTAAGTAAGACACTTAAGTATAGATAACCTCAGAGTGCATCTGTGCCTCTCATGGTATTTTAACAAAGGAGATGTCAGCATGCCTTTAATTTACCCACAAAAGCATACAATCTGCTGGTAAAATGATGAATTAAACTAACTCTGGGAATTTGACCACCCTTTTGAAAAGATGCTACTTTTTAGTCATTTCTACCCAACCAGGGTCATTCCTAACATAGGCATCATCTTCTGAGCCTCTGCCATTACTGCACACTGAGGCTTTCTAACAAGTAGGAGGGAGTAAATCCAAATATTAACTAGTACTGGATCTTCAACCTTGGATGACCTGAGCCTGGGCCCATTCAGAATGGGTAGAAGCTTGCCCATCCTGGCAATGTGCTGACTTTTTCCAAGAGGGCCCTTGGAGTTGCTTGGTGCTGCGGCCTCTTGCTGTAGCTTAGATCGAAGTGGCAAGTTGGACATTTCCAATTTTCTTCCCATAACCCAAGATGGCCCTTGGCCAGCATCCCCCTACCTGCACTGCTAGCCCCCCCCCCTCAGTGGTTCTCCACACCAAACCATCCAGTTCCTGTTATGGAATGTCTGTGCCCCATTTCCTTGATTCCTGCTTTTGTCACATTACAAATGGAGTGACAGAAGCTCTAGGAGTCCCTGATGTCAGCTGGGGTCTCCAGCTAAGATTGCCTTGTGCTCTAAAGCCCACATTTGGTGGCATTCCGAATCTACCCTCAAGATTTCTGCAAGTCCCTACAAGCTGTAAGAGCTCAAGTTCATCTGGCAGCATGTTTACCCTTGTGCATGAAATTCCCCCAAACTTACGCACTTGAGGCAGATTATATATATGGCAGAACTTCCTGAAGCTGGGAGGGTGGGGTGATGGGGGCCAGCTTCAAACTGAATATTTGACTCCATTGTTTTTAGTAGTCATTGCAGAACTTGCCACCACCTCTGTGGCTCCTGATGCTCTTTCCATCTGACCTCTCCCCTATTCTCCTCCTGCAAACTGTGCCTTGTTGTCTCTTCTTTTTGGTTGCTTTGCTGCTTGCTGGCTCATACCCTCAGCTTCTGACCTCCACCACCAAACAGCATCCCATGTCACCGCCAAACAGCTTACGAGTGTATTTTCCTAAACAAAGCCTGTTTCGTCCCCAGGAGGACTTCTGGAGCCAGCAGCTAAGTTTCTAAGGTCTTCAGTTCTGGTCGTCCCTGCAGATCTGTATGGGGCTGTCTCTTTCTGTTTACATTGCCATGTTTCTTTTCATTTAGGTGTTCAAAATAAGAACGTACCATGTGCGCAGCTTCTGCAGTTCCTCCAGAGGAACATCATCATTGCTGCTGCCTCAGTGGCAGGAGTCCTTGTGGTCACAGTGTTGCTGCTGCTGGCCTTGACCACATGCATCAGGAGGAAACAACTATCGTGAGTGGCTCTTAGCTCCCGCCTTCCTTCAAAGGACTTGTGGGTATTTGTGCCAATGTGGCCCCAGAGCTTCCTGCCGATCCTGGAGTTAGGTTGTGTATTCATAGAGTACAGATCGCCCAGGCTAGGAGTTTTTAAGCCCTGCCTTGGTGGTGATGCACAGCTAGGTTTGGATTTCCTGGCTTGGACCATGCTTGCCTCTAAAGAATCCCTTAGGTTAGGCCATACCTGTTTTCTTTTTTCTTTCTTTCTTTCTTTCTTTTTTTTTTTTTTTAAGATTTTATTTATTTATTTGACAGAGAGAGACACAGCGAGAGAGGGAACACAAGCAGGGGGAGTGGGAGAGGGAGAAGCAGGCTTCCTGCAGAGCAGGGAGCCCGATGCGGGGCTCGATCCCAGGACCCCAGGATCACGACCCGAGCTGAAGGCAGATGCTTAACGACTGAGCCACCCAGGCGCCCCCACACCTGTTTTCACACTGAGGGCCACTTAAAAGAGGAGATGGTACAGCCTCATGCTGAAAGATTGGAAAATAGGACAATGAGGTCAGGGAGGGATGAGGCCATGGAGGAGATGAGCACAGGGCTGATGTTTGGATTGTTCACCCTGGGCAGTAGCCCTGATTGTTAGAATATTGAAAGATCCCTCTACTGGTTGGTAAACAGCAGCTTCCCAGGACCTCCCACAGACTTTCCAGTCTTCCCCAGGGTCCTGCCAATGAAGGGTTCATGCCTGGCCCAGGAATGGCCCTTTAGGGCTGTGCTCTTGACAGTGGCCACGCTGACGAGTCAGGGGCTGTCTGGACCACTTGCTAAATATGTCCGTTATCCCCCTGACGAGAGGGCTCCAACACAGCGGCTATAACCATGAAAGGCACTAGAAAGTAAATGGCTTACAAGACTGCATTTGCAATAATTGCATCTCGAAATTATGTGCCTCCATCTGCATCCCTTGAGACACACTTCTTAATCACAGGGAAGAGCAGCTTCCCAAGGTCCCTCGGGTCTTGCGTAACTCAGCTTGTCCACAGAGAAAGGGGGCTGTGGTGTGCCATGGAGGGTGAAGTGTCCCTCCCCCCCAACTCGGAGGCTACGGTACTTAAATTTGCCCACAAGAGTGACATTGCTTTCCCTAAAGGAGTTCTTTAAAACACTAAGATTCCTGAGACTGGTAAGCTATTCAGGCCAGCCACCACTACCTCATACCCAGCTTCCTCCTCTGAGACAGGACTGGGTCCCCTGAAGTGAAAGGGGAGCCCGGAAGGTGGCAGAAGTTAGAGATGGAAGATTTAAAGAGCTTCTGGAAATAAGCTTGAGCCACTTCACAGTTCTGACTGGGGCTTATCCATTGGATTTGTCATTTCCCTTCTGTGCCTCTTAGAGATGTCAGAAGAAGTGATCAAGACTGTGGCTCCATCCCATAGAGGCAAATCGAAGCTGTGGAGAGCCTGTGTTATCAGAAAGTGGGGGGAAAGGAGTTTCCCAGAGGCTCTCTGGTGCCCAGAGGCAAAATGAGTTTCACACATGACAAACCCTCCTGATGGGCAGTAGACTGCTCACCCCTCAGAAACATCAGCCTCTGTCACTCCCCAGTGAGTAGACAGTAGGAATTCCTATACACGGCGTTGTGCAATATGGTTTTGCTATATTTTATTTTAGACATTCTCCAGCGAACATGACATATAATATTTTTATTCTGAATGGGAAGACTTGGTGGCAGAAGTTTCAAGAAAAGAACCCCAGAAAACACAGTGATAAACAGAAACGGTTGTTGAAGAGCAAATCCCGTGTCTAAGCCAGCTAGTGGGGCCAGCCAAACCAGGACTGGAAGCTGTGAGGCCAGGCAGTTCTCCACCTGGACACCACGGAGAGGCATTTGGATTTCTGGCTGTGAGGTGTGCTCTACAAAATGTTGACCTTCTCCTGTCAATCTCAAATGGACCAAGACACAAATGTTGTACCACAGGATGCTTATAGTGTGGTATGGCTCTAATGGCTAGTGCAGGAGACACAGTACATTTACCCAAAGACAAACCTGACCAACTACCGATTTATTTATTTATTAAAGCATCGGTTCTCTGATTCAGCCGTTCAGGGAGCAGGTATTTTTTTTTTCCACCAGGCTAACCCATCCCCCCACTCAGGTATTAATTGAACACCTAATATGTAGACAGTCTCACACATGAGGCCACCAAAAGTATTGGAAGCAGGCCTGGTCCTCGTAGGTTTCTGAGGAGAGGGCAGATAGCGGGCTGAAGCTTTTTGGTGGTGTTCTTAGGTTTCTGAGCTCCCATCTGCAGGGGTTCAGAGGGGAGAGTGGTGGGGGACACCCAACAGCCCTGTCCCTGAGCTGGAAGGCGGTGTCCAGGGACGCCCGCTCTCCTGGGATGGGGACGTAGAGGTTGTGCCGGGGCTGGCGCAGGGGCCCTTGGAGGCTGCAGCCGCCCCTGGGTCCGAGCGCCCCAGCTCCCACCCTCTGTGGCTGCACACTCTCTGCCGTCCCCGTGGGGGCCGCGGTGGGGGCGCTGGTCACAACGGAAGGGCGAGGACGCGAGCGACAGCGACAGCGGCGGCGGTCGGGGAGGGCTGTGGCTTTGGCAGAGGGTCCCTGTCCAGGCGGGCGAGGATGCGCGCGGGGCCTGGCTGGAAGGCGTCTGGGGGTGGGTGGTTTCGCTAGGGAGTGAAGTGGGCTCTAGGGAGGCAGGTGGCCTCAGGAGGGCAGGGGGCACATCACCTGCAGACCAAGGGCAACCAGTGCCCACGGAGAACCCCGGGCGTGTCGGGGGCCGGCGTGGACTAAAAGCCGGAGGCGCATTGGATGTTCACCCCCACGGAAGGAGAAGGTCCCCTGGGCTGCTGCTGGCCGGCCACCACGGGCTGTTGCTCAGCTGCTTAGAGTCTCCCCAGGTGCAGGCCCAGGCTAATCTTCCCTCGGGCTGGAGAGAACCCCGGCCTCCTCAATGCTGGCCAAATCCTTCCAAGCTCTGAGAACCTGGAGTTGGATCAATGGCTGTAGGAGGGGACCCTTCCAAAGACAGACTGTGAGAGGTACCTGCTCATGGCAGGTTTTGTGGGCTTTCCTGGGGGCAACTGATAGCGCTGTCTGAGGGCGAGGGAGCTCATATATACCCAAAGGTGGCTGGCGGTCTCATGTGGGCAAGGAGTCCTGGAGCTCTGGGAGCCCTGGGCCCATCTTGTGCTGGCCTAGGCATCATCTTCCCAAGCCCCCAAGAGTGTTGCCACTGAGCAGGGAGGGAGGAAAGGAGGGAGGGACTTCACAAGTCCAGGCATATCCCACGAATGGTCCCCTGGGAGGCTGGGCCCAGCTGGACTCCAGTACCAGTCCTGCCTCGACCATCTCTGAGGCTCAGTGTCCTTATTTTTGCCATGGGGGTAGGCATTTACCTCCTTCCCAGGGTTCATTCAGCAAGAACCATTTATTAAGCATCTGCTGTATGCTAGGCACTGTGCTGGGCTGGGTGCTGGGGACACCATGGAGAGTTGGTAGAACAGCTTTCCTGTCAGTGGGTTGCTGGTATCCCCTTGGAAGCTTGGGAGGAGATAAGGCTGTCAGGGCTTAGGTATACAGCAGGCACACCATAAATACCAGACTCTTCCTTGAGCTACTGATAGGTTGCACCCCTACCCTCATCCCATCGTCATCCCAACCTCTTGGAAACCTAGAACTGAGAGGCAGCCCTCCTCCTGTTGGCTTCCCACCCCTACCTCGGGCTTCCATTTGAAGAACAAGTTAGGGCCAATGACCTCTAGCCTCTGCCAGTGGTCTCTCCATTGCCTATGGGCCCACTATGAGCCTCCCCTTGCGTCTTCCTCTATCCAAGAGATGTCTCCCTGTGTTCTTAGTCTGCTCTCATGCTGGGGGCTTCCACCGTCAGCTCCGTGGTTGGTCTAGCCAACCTGACCCTGGCCGGGTGAGGAGCAGACACCAAACAGCACAGGGGATTTCAGGATCGAGCCCTGTGGAGGCTCTGGGCTCCCAGCCTCTGCCTTTCACTAGCTGTGAAGTCTCAAGCCTCAGTTTCTTCTTGGCCTCAATTTCTCTATCTGTAAGATGGGGGCTAACCTACCTTGTGGGGTTGTTGTGAGCATTGCACCTTTGCTGGGGTCAACATACAGTAGCATTCAATATAAAGGAATAAATAAATCTTAGCTCTTATGATTATTCTGCAACACTTTGGCTCTTTGCCTGCCCAGCATCCTTTCTCTCTCCTTCCAGCCATAGCTTCTGACTTCCCTTGGGTTCTTCTCCTCCGTCTCAATGTGGTGTGCTGAGGCATGTGACCTAGTCCTAAGCCACTCTCACATCCCATCCACTGGCTTCAGGGACTGGTTGGGGGATGGACATGTGATCCACTCAGCCAATGAGCTGTGTTAGAGTTTCTGCTGGGAAAATTGAGAGATAGGTTCTTTTTTCTTCCCCCTCCTTCTTTTTTAAATAAATGGTAGCTCTCTCTATATGTATTTTGCAACATTTTCCAAATATAAAATATGTCAGTGAATCATATCCCATTCTCATAGTTTTAAAGATCTCACAGATTTTTACTCAAGATTCTTGCTTTTTGAGTAAGATCTGCTGAGTCACTATGTCAGACCACAGAAAGAAAAGTTGTCTGAGAATGAAGTCTTCAAGTGGAGGAGGTAACAACCTGGAACCATCATTTGAGCCCTTAGCAAGCTTTTCCTAAAGGCTATACCTGGGATTTTTGTCCATCCATGCTATATTTAGTGACCACTATTATGTGCTAAGTGTCACTCCAGTTGTTGGCAACACAACCAGGAACAAGACAGTCCCCACCTCACAGTGGTCACCATCCTGCCCCAGGGCCTTTTCACTTGCTGTTCCCTCTCCCCAGAATGCTTTTCCCTGATCTCTCCATGGCTCCCTCCTTTACCTCCTTCAAGTCCTAATTCACAGGTTAGCACCTCAGCGAGACCTCTCCTGACCTGTCTGTTAAAAATCACACACCCACATACCTCTTCTACTCTCTCCTGATTTATTTTACTCCTTAGCACTTGAAACCACCTGCTATACTCGATAGAATACTTATTTGTTACTTCTCTGTCTCCCCCCGTTGAACATCACTTCCACAAGGGAAGGGATTTTCATTGTTCGCAGCAGATGTATAGTGACCTAGAGCAGGTGCTCAGTGTTAAATAAATAGGGAGCCCAAAAGGACTATCTCAAGACGTTAACACTGTCATTGTGATTTGAATGTTTAAGAAGG